GTAGAGTATCGACTCTCTATTTGACAGTTTGGAGAGTCCACTCCCATTCCATCTGCTTTCGCAAACTCTTAACACTTCAATGCGATACCTTGTCATCTTCTTTGCAAGCTGGGCTGCCTTGCCAACCAGCTTCAAACATTCCACGTCCCCACGTTTACTTTAGCTTTCATCGAGAGAAGAGGAGACACATCGGCCAATTGGCTTTTAGAAAACTTTCACCAACCGGCGTCATTTCGCTTCTCCGATTGCAGCGAGGAATAATTTTGTTTTCATTTTTTATATTTTGATTGGGCTTTGAAGTTTCTTTAGCGGTTGGATTGGTTTTACGGGTCCGCGTTTCTAGCCCTACGCCCAACCTTCCCTCTTTACCCAGGCTTAGGACCGGCTAGTAACTAGTGTACTAGTTAACCAGGTGACGTTTACAGGCTTTGAATACAATAGCTTAATTGAAAGTTAACTAGTCTGCCTTTATGGTATACAAAAATTATGCGCATGTCGACGGAAAAGAGGAGTGGGATACAAAAAATTTAATTCTTCAAAATAACATAATTTTGCACATTGACTGGCACGCAAAATTTCCTGTTGTTATACTAGATGTTAGTGGCTCACCTCTATTGGTACATGGGCTATAATGCGAATGCCTAATAGTAGAAAACGGGTGGACGTTTGAAGCTATGGGTACTCGGTTCAAGTCTCAGTGACAGTACTACGCCTCACTGAGATTAAGGTACATTCAGTTAGTTCTGACGGTACGAAACCGGCCTGCTTGATTCCAGTGCTAACCACTACCAAGATAATTACATTCTATGTATCGACTATCAGCTGACTGAATTGCTACCTATATGAAGACTAAAAATATAGATTTGGGTTTATTATTTCAATTTTCACGAGTTTTGCTCAACTGATGTAACCTGAACTCATGGTGTAATACTAATAACTATATCTCATTCAGCTTCTATGTCTACCACTATATTCCAATGACGGACATTTAAATATCGTCAACAAAGATACTGTGCTTTTAGTTGGTAAGAAAGTAAATATATAGGATCACACAATTTTTGAAATAGCATTTGATTTGCTTACATTAGAAAAGTTACCACACTTGACAATGTTCACTAAAGAACAACCACGTAAAAAAATTCAAAATTACTCAACAAATCCTCGAATTCTTCTTCTTTTTTCTACTCTGTATACGTGTACAGTTTCAACTCTTTCCCTGTAGTCAATTACTTTGAACGCACCTAAAAACACCTTCCTACATGATTTGTCAGGTAGTTGAAAGTAATCGAAAAGCTTCCTATGAATAAAACCTGGTTTATAAGATGCCTAAAGTAGACATACGGTGTTCATCTTTGAATTCATCAGACAAGGGAAACATTCACAATGAAGATAAGAAGTGCTTTTATATCTATTCAGAAGTTTCGTCGATTCCTAATCTCCCTTGACTACTGAATACAATCACAAGAAATATGGTTTCAACATACTATTATCACTAATCCTTAAAATCTTTGTGACTAGTATGTAGACATCGTTAGAATATTTATCATCTGTTCACCATTACTATATTTGGCATGTTTCCTGTCTCTCATTCTCTCATTATTGCCATTGTACTGAATACTTGTTTTAACACCAGTTCAAATTCAATCTGTGTTTTCGGTTTTGTGTCACGCCTAACTATCCGTAAAAGAACATCGTCATCATTCTGTTACATTAAGCTTTCATTCCAGGTGAACTATTTGATGGTTTTAGATTTTAGCATTTATTTCTTACCCGCATACAGTATTAATGATATTTTACAATCTTTCAGTATTTAATGGTTGGACCTATAGAGACTTCAGTAAAAATATTTATATTTCAATGTTTCATTTGTCGGTAGAATTGAACTTCAGTGACGGAAAACTTCAAGGATGACCAATCAAATTGTAGATGATGCATGTCAAGGTTACCTACTTACCACGTTATTGATAATGCATAAACTGTTTGTGAAATGTGACGAAGGTTAGGTTGTCGGAAGATGAGCTGAATATGACTGGTTAACTAACACATATGTTGTAGTCATCTAAGTGGTTAGAAACGGAATCAAGGATGTGCGTCTCATCCTATTTGAGACTCACTCATCAGCTGGATGTACCTGCACTCCAGTGACTAATGTTGTTCCCATTGTGACTCAAACTTGGTCCCCATCGCTTTACATGTCAAAGCGTTATCCGCTAGGCCAGAGCGGCATTAGGGACACCTTATGTGCAGTAGGTATCAAATATTATTTGATGCTTGTAATTTCCTCTGGTTACACTTGGTTGAATTCCTCGACCTCCATTGGTAGATGGGCTCTTATATGGATGCCTCGTTATTCATTATGTTGTAGCCTTCCTGTGGCTAAAAGTGGGACTAAGAACGCGTGTTTCCTCCTATTTGGGACTCGTCAGCTGGATGAACCGGCACCCCAGTGAGTGATGTTGCTCTCACTGCTAGCCACTAAGCAGATTATAGTATGGTGAGTAATCGAACAGTATCAAAGCGTCCACATAAGAACCCGTCTGACAACAGTGGCCGTGCAATTCGATCTTGAATAATGACGGAAATTTACAAGTACTAAATGACACAATATGTTTTGACAAATCATACGAGGAATGGACATTTGAACTGGATAAAGGATATATCACAAGAATCTATCCCACCTCTTTTAGGAAGATGAAACGAATTTGGGACCCCAATGTACACAGATTTTTGGAAGTTTCTTATCTGAAGTGGGTTACTTCGGTCAAGCTGTTGTTCAAAGACAGCGCTTCGTTAATTAAACCACTGAAGTGCACACAAACAATGTTGGAAATAAGTGCAGTAGTCTTCGAAAGTTCTTAAAACCTTTGTCAGGATCATGAGGGGAAATGATATGATCGCATATAGATGAGTGACAATGCATACAAGATCACTAATCTATTGGAAATCTAGTTATCTTTATTCATTATGTAAAACAGATTTATAAATTGTAAATAAAGTACCATTTACCTGAATAATTACGTTATTCTTCATACTCTCGATTGTGATTGGTCAGTGCACACTTGGACGTAACTGGTTATCACTAGCGAATTCATCACTCGATGATATTTAAAACAGCTATGAAGACTACTGTTATGACTACTTAGTAAAATCCACCGATTTGCTCTTAACATATGGAAAATCACAGAGCACCTGATTATCGTGTCATACGACTTAAACTAAAAAAGTGACCACCGAACTTCAGTTAACATTTTACACACAGGAATTTAGAGACAAAATTGTCTATGTAATTCATTTCTACATTTAGTTTGTTATCATTAATGTAGCTTAAAAATAATCTGTTTCACTTCGGCACTAAGTGATACGCTGTTGAATCCTCAATGAAAATCTCACTGTATTGTAGGGTATTGATTTTGCCAATAATCGCTAGATCTGAATTCAAGGTTACATATTGACGAGTTTCAAAATCGAACAGCTTATGCTACGATGCTAAGTATTAAGAGGCAGGTAACATGACAGTCTGAAAAGTGTGAAGATTTGGGATTATATATTGAATAAATTAAGGTAATAATTAGCCTATCAGTATCAACATAGAACTTTTATCATTGTTAATCTACGTCTTGTGTAAAGTGGCCTGCTTGAACTTTGATCTAGTTAATTTTTTCGTGCAGTATATTACATCAAATTACCCCATTCAGTTGTGTCATGTAATCGTATGATATACTCTCGCTGATCTTGAAAATTATTTCAATTTATCTCTCCTCAAGTTTGATGAAAGGTCAAAAAGAAACACCATGGTGCATGTCAATGAGCTGTCAAGTGTTCAACTATCGATCAACTGACTACTACGGAAATAACTAACACAGACTAAAAGTCTTTAGCACAAAGTGTCGAATACATTTTGTCACTCTTATCTAAAAATACTTATCAAGAGTAATAACACTACATGAAACATAATAATAATCCATTTATTCCAAACAACATATATGATATTAGTGTTATTGCTTATATTATACCGTCGTTGATTGGTCCGAATTGATCGGTGTCTATTGACACATGCGCTCCCGTGCGGAAGCCTCGATATTGGCTGTGTTCTAATTATTAGTAATGTTGGGTAGTGGCTAACATTGGGATCCAGGATGCGCGTTTCGTGCTATTTGGGACTCATCACCTGGATGATGACGACCACTTTAGATAGTCCCTATATGACGCAACTACTGTAGCCTACAATTATTCTCCTATTACGAATGCCCACAGATATTACGTAACTTCCCTTTGCCCCATAATTTACATTGAGCGTTGGCTGGAAATTACTCTGGAATGATCTAACCTATTCATTATATATATTCACTAATATATAGCTAAGAGAATGAATTTGTCTAAAAGAAAATGTCTTCTTCACAACAATCGTCTTCGATGTTTCCCTATGACCTTTCAGAAAATTGAAAGTTATCTCCCCAATTCAATCAGTGTGAAAATTGTTGGATAGAAGGAAACTTCTGCTAAAAATAAAAATCAACAATGAATAACAAATCATTTAAACTTGGCTTTATTTTTCTCCTTCTTACCTGTGTCATACACAAACATGAGAAACATTTAAGTGAACAGAAAAACTAGAAAATAAAAACATATACAAATAATAACACTGGACAAGGTTTCTTTCAGCGGTTGAACAGTTATTTAAAATTGAAATGTACAAACTTTTCCAACTTTGTATCATTTAAACAAAAGAAGAAGAAGAAGAAGCAGAAAGTGGCAAAAGTGAATGTTGATCAGCCTATCATTGCATATGTGTATTTCAGTGGAGGAATTGCTGTCCTAATTACAAGACTACCTATCTCTGTTATCTATAAACTGATCAATGTTCTATGATTTCTCTTATCACAATCACTTTTCTGTAGCGCACTGTTGAAATATGAATAGTCAACGGTGTATTTCATTGTAAACAAAATTCGAGGCGAAGCGAGAGAGAGAGACAGAGAGAACTAGAGTAGATGAATCTATCATTGTTCTATGAACCTGTCAAAAGAAACAAGAAAACCAAACTGTAGAATTCTAATTTTATTCATTTTCAAGAGAACAAAAATTTTCCAATCACAGTGGTAAACGGAATCTAACACTTTCTTAAAATGATTAGCCCACTGTATAAATTTTCATAAGAAAATAAGAAGACCAGTTAGTATGAAATGTGGATGATGTATTAGCACAATAGATTTTCAGCAATCTAGTTTACTTGTCATGCTTATTTCTAGTCAAAGCAACAAGGGATAAATGCATTGAGGGTTAAATTGATAGTTCAGATGACCAGTCATAAATAGAAACGGAAAAATGGTAAATTAATCACCCTTGATATTGAAGCTGAGTTATTGAAGAAGGTCTAGTGGTTTTGATGACATAAAAATGGTGTGGACTTCTTTATAGCCTGAGTTTTAAAATTTCCATTTCACATTCTTAATAGGTTTTTTAAGTAAAAAAAATGTTTGAAGAAAGCATACAGACGAAACATTTGACCCATTTAAGTGGCTTACCAAGTTATGGACAAAGTTGGATATCTGGTACCCAGCCCAATGGAATCATTCGATTCGATTGGCTGTTGAAACCATTTTGAAATGTGCTTTATATCCCTTACTAACAGACATTGAAAAACCCTCCCTGCACATGTGTGATTACATCTACATGGGATTTGAACCTGTAGTTCAAATGCTGTAAGAACTAACCGGGGTAAAAAGTATGGTTCTCTAAGTCACGTTACCGTTTGGTGCGTAATAAGTTATCCGGATGTCTCCTTCAAGTCCTTGTTTTGATCATGAAGTTTTGTGAATCATCCGTTTACAGAAGCGCTATATAGACAGCTTTCGTTGTAAATGAATGAACAATGAATCTTCTTTATTCGACACTTCTATTATGGTTTTAAATTTCACAAGGTTTATGCATTATCTTCCTTTTTTCTGACATGATTTGACCTATGTGCTAACAATTTGACCATTTATTATATCAACTGTTTATTCAAGCCATTTATGCCTTGTTATATTTTGCGTAGATATGAATAAAAACCAAATATTTAATTAAATCATTCTAAAGGTTTTTGCGCTAAAGCATCACACGTCTCAGATTAACCATTTCTTTTTAAAATACCTACGTAATACACTTTTTTAACTTCATCATGGACTAGTATCAGGTAGAGTCTAAACGAAACTGTAGGAGTAATGAAGAAATGTTTCGTCCTAGTATATGTACCCATAAATTCATGAGGTACCTAGCCCAGGACTGTCATTCTCATCATCATTTAGTTTTTCGGTTAAGATTTTCCTGCTTCTGTCCATTCACGACATCATGCGAACATCAGCTGGACAACGCTGAGGGGTCCTTTACCATGGTGAAACAGCTGCCTAGTTGTGAAGTGTTTTCAATAACTCTAATGCCTGCATCAATTCATGAGGAATACTGCTCTGAAATCGATAAATTCACATAAACCACCAATTGAAACACTCATTGAAGTCTGATCTGGAGCATTGTATCTTCTACAAACGAAATGAAATTCCGGAACAAAACATGAGAATAAAAGATGTAAAAAGTAGTTAAGAATGATAGAGGTATTCAACACTTTTTAATCAATTCTATCAATGAAAAGCGGTCACGTGATAAAGAATTTCTGGATTGTGAGCAGTCTATTAACACATAAATTCAAGTAACTATTTCTACGAGATCTAAGATCTTTTTACAACATTGAGATCTATTCAAAACTTATTCGACAGAAAAAAGGTCTTTGTCACAATATAGTATAGAGATGAATCAAATATTCTTCGCTAGCGAAACTACTTTAAAGCACATGGTGAAAAATAAGGCTCATACTTTGAAACAAAACAACATTTTAATGAGTAAATATTCCATTACACTCCTACTATCAGTTTACATTTGCGTAGATACGAAAATTGGAAAAGTAATCGTGATATCTAGTCGACTTTAGCTGAATATTTGCCCAATTAATTGATAAAGCAAATTATCTCTAATAATCTGATGGTGTTATTTTTTCTAAGCTAGATGGTTTAATCGCCAATTTTTTATTATCATTGTTGACAATATTATCAACAGTATAAGCTTCAGAAAGAAGTGAGCTATGAGCTTTTTCCACCATAAGTAGCTTAGTACTTTCACTCGATAACCCTGTATATAATTAGTTGTTTCTGCTGAAATCTTGTCATTGTCTTCATATGTTTTTTTCGATTGGCTGTCTTGCCGACGTGAACTTACAACTTCCTGTTGTTTCGTGTCTGTTCGTTAGATTGAGTCATGGTCAATATATCTGTCGATCACTAACTTACTTGACACTTCCCTACAAATTGATGTACATGCAGGTGGATACGAATTTGACTGAAAAAATGTTGAAATTAGGGATAAAATCTCTTGCTTCTGAAATTTACGCTGCTGCTGATGTTGTCTGGCATGACAGTAAAAGCTTCACGATAAAACTATGCAGCTAGGCGAGGAAAACACCATCTGATTCATCTTCCACTACGAAATACACTTTAAAGACTTGTTGTAACATTGACTTCAAGATCAACTGCACAATTTTAAGAAGAGAGTCAACAATGACTTGCTGAATAGTAATAACTTGTTACGTGTATATATATATATAACCCGACTGTTCAAAATGTCAAGCGCCACAAAATGGACTAGCTGTTTCAAACCAAGTAGCCATTCTGTTCTTAACGTCATACTTTTCATTTTCATCCTTCGTATTATCAATAATTCAGTTTGGAGGTTTGTAGGGACTTATCGATTTGAAGGTAATATTCATCAAGAAACCTTGTTGCGAAATAACATATAATAAACTATGAGCCTCTGAATTCTGATCTACAGATTCAATAGTAACGTGCTCGATTTAAGGCCGGAAGGTTCTGGGTTTGATCCGTGGAGCATCCATGGATGCGAATAGCTGATGAGTTCTATACTAGAACAAAACAGCTGTCTAGGGCTCCTTTTTTTCACTGGCTCTCCAAATGATATCATACGATGATAAATGGTATCATTGAAATCAGTGCACAATAACTGTAAGTGTTTTAGTGTTTATATCTGTCTGGCGATAAAAGCATTTCAAAATTCGGTAAAGCATTAATATCCTCATCAAGTGACATGCTTCATTTATAGATTCAAAAAGTTCTGTGAATAAACGATTTATAACAGTAATATCTTCCAGTGTGATACATGGATTAGGACGAAGGACCTGAAGAAACATTCTAGGGTAGACCAATCCTCTTTTATCATGTACAGCATTTTTTAATGTTATGTTTCAATTTGGGGGTTTGTGGAGATTTACTGATTTCAAGTTCATCTTTATCATGGTCTCCAGGCCCCCAGGTTTCTAATGTTCCTCCAACTGATGTCAGTGTATGGTTAATACTAACTTGAGATGTTATTTTTACTGAGAATTTGAAGTGATATGTTACTCACAACATCTTGGAAAATAACTGTTTCCTGAAACCCAGCATAATCGAAACAGCATTAACTATACTGCGAAAGGTTTGATCAGCTTTGTCAGTTTGTTATTAATGATGGATGACGGCTAGCAGTCGAATTCAGGAGGCGCGTTTAGGACTACTCAGCCGGACATACCTGCTTTCCAGTAGGGAATGATGTCATTACTACTGAGACTGTAAGCCGGAACCGATCACTTCAAACGCCAGAGCGTTATCCATTAGGCCACTTAGTCACGATAGGCACTCCTTACTGATTTGTGTTTGATGTTTCCACTTCTGGTTCAGCTTGGAAAATAAGTGAGTTTTGTTGCATGGTTTATGCAGTTGGTTCAACTGAATTTTCCCACTCTAGATATCATTCGCGGTGTTGTTTTTTTCTAATAAACAATATGTATCGCAGGCTACTCCGAGATATTAATCCATTGCTTTCAGCTAAGAGACTGGAGTGAACCAAACACTGGCTGTTAAGTGACGAAACCATTGCCAATGTAACTAACCAAACTCATCGTCCAGACCCGAACAGTTCTGATCAACAGAATACTCACTTGTTTCATAGCACTTCTGTGACAGACGTCATATGCGGTTCACTTGGTGAGAAACAGTGTTTACATACACCGAATACACATTATGCTGTAAAAATCTTGATAACTTGAGGTGGAATCAGGGACGCAAGTTTCCTCCTATTTGGAATTCACTCGTCAGCTGAGTGAACCGGAACTACAGGAAGTGATATGGTTCCCACTGAAACTCGAACCTCTTTGGCATCGCTTCAAGCATTATAGCGTTATGCAATAAGTTACAGAGGCACTGGAGCCCTCTCTCACAAAATATATATCAATTGTTAACTTTTGATGCTTTTAACCTCCCGTTCATTTACCGTGTCGAGCTATTAATGCATTGCCTGGTATTCATGAGAAAGGTTAATCAACAATAACTAATGAACTGGCTAAGTTAACAGTGAGAAGAATCCCAATTAACCAAAATTCCTAATTTCTGTTGAAATGCAAATTATTGAGTGAAAAATTTCATAAACGTACAGAGCCTTTCAATTTTCTTTGAAGATATTTACTGATGTATCCGGCCCAGATTTTAATCATTATCTAAGTAACTGAAAGATTTTCGATTCTTACTAAACGCATCCTTAGTAGTAGAGGCAATCAAATTAAATTACGAGGTAGAAAATAAATAAATAGAATCATCTATATAGGATTGTAGAGTGTAAAATATAACAAACGATGGTTTACATACTACCATCTTCAGAGAATCGACACATTCCAACAGATATCTAGATTTCGGGTCATCTCAACCAGCGTCAGCTGATGCAGGTTTAGTCAAATGCTTGAATGATGGAGCTAGAAAACTCACTAGTCAGTGAAAGGATTAAAACAATGAATAGAAATTCATAAAAGAAGCTTTAATAACGGATAAATATTTTTAAACATTTATTTAGAAACTCGTAGGAACACATAAGAAACGAAGTGGTAACAGTAATACGAATATGAATAATGGTGACATCACGAGTGGAAAGGAGTTCAAAGCCTC